AAAACAAAACAAAAGCCACAAAACAAAACAAAACACAAAACAAAACCAAAAACACAAAACAAAACAAAAGCCACAAAACAAAACAAAACACAAAACAAAACCAAAAACACAAAACAAAACAAAACAAAATGCCACAAAACAAAACAACACAAAAAAACAACAACAAAAACAAAAAAACAAAAAACTGGGGCTAGGGGGTTGCTTGTTGCTTTTAATATTTTGGGGACAATGTTGGGACTTTAGGGGTGTGCAATATTCATGACAAAAATGATAATCTCAATATTTTCTGGAACCAGAATCTCGGCGAAAGTAGTAGCTCATCCAGGTACTTTTTGCCTACTGTTGAATACCATGAATTTGGACATAATACTTTTCTTGCATACCGTTTTTATATTATATAGTATGGAAACTGCGACTGTCTTGAGTTGAGTCATTGAGTCATTCATCATAGAGTCAAAGTCGGTCACTGAATTACTGAAACTGATTTGTTCAAAAAGCAGATTTGCACATTGTTAAAACAATAATTACGATATTATCGTTGACGATACATATCGCAAACCCTTACTTGGAGCAAAATGATTGAGAAGCACTGCTTCAAACTCTGATATATTTAAAAGACAAAAAACAGAGAAGGACCGTGAAACCAGTCTAATGACACATTTTGAATAAAACTATTAAAATTATTGCAATATTCACAATATTGCCATGGTGATGACATTCCACATTTGCTGTTAATGATCGCAAGTCTGCATAACAAAGAACGAGCAAAGTGAACAGACTAGAGGTGTGCAGTTGATGCTCATGCAGGAGACACAGCTTTGAATCCATGTACCATTCACCCACCACTACTTTCCCTCATATTATTAAAAAAATCTATTATATTTTAGTTTCTTCATCTTGACTGTAGCTCTGCTCACTCTGGACATTGAGGTTTTTAAATAAAAACTGTAGTTTAAATATTCATAAGTAGACTATTTCTAAATTAAATTCAAGCATAGCGGCCTTTAGACAAAAAGGTTTATAAGATCACAAGGAACAAATTCGGTCATGTGTGTCCAAACTTTTGACAGCGAGTGTAGACCTCTGATGGCTGCTTGCGGCAGACTAATCTGACAACTGACTCCTCATCCAATGTGACAGACGAATTCCATCCATCTATCTGCATCTCTGTCGCTCCTGAGAGCTGAGACGAGAGGAGGAGGCTGGTACGCAGTGTGTGTGTGTGTGTGAGAGAGAGAAGAGCTAAAGCCCAGAGACAGGTGGCCCAGAATGGCAGTGTGGCCTCTATGTGTCAGATCAGTCTGTGAGTGGGCCGAGTGAAGAGACAGGGCCTCTCCTCACTCTCTCTCTCTCTCTCGTGCGGCACCTTTCATCTCAGACACAGGGTCACTTCACCCTGTTAAACAACACCGACGCAAAGTCTGAAATCTTAAAAGAGGGAACATCCTAAAAACAAGAGGTTGAATGTATTGTGGGGATTTGAAAAGAGTTTTGACTTGTGGCATAAAGTCTGGTCCACTTTGCAGCTTATTCTGGACATGGTCTGCCCTTTTATACAGGAAGAGACTGAATGATGAAAAATGACTAATCGCAGTTTGTTTTTTTATAACTGCTGTTCACCTGAAATAAACTGCCATTAAATTTTGGGGTCAGTACGATTTTCTTTTTTTAAGAAATGAATACTTTTATTCAGCAAGTGTGCATTATATATGTTTTACTGTCACTTTTGATCTATTTCATGTTATAAAAGATTAGTATTTTTTTTAAAAAGCTGTTATTTTTAATTTTCTATGCATCAAATAATCCTGAAACAAAATGTTTACATTATGATTTCTACAAAAATATTCATTGTTTTTCCCCCCCAACATTAATAATAAGAAATGTTTCTTCTTAATGTTTCACACAACACACAAATCAGCATATTAGAATGATTTCTGAGGGATCATGTGACACTGAAGACTGGAGTAATGATGCTGAAAATTCACAGGAAAATATTACATTTTAAAATGTATTAAAATAGAAAACAGTTATTTTAAATTGTAATACAATTTTACAGTATTACTGTTTTTACTGCATTTTTGACCAATTCTTTTAAAAATATTTAAAAAAATCTTACCTACCCCAAAATTTTGAACGGTAGTGTAACTAATATTACAATAATAAAAAGGAGTGGAAAAAACTTAAAATAATAGTGTGCCAGTCTCACCATTATTTGCTGCTATATGCATCAGACGATCTGTGAATGGACTATATGTGTGCCATCTGAGGTTAAAGGGATAGTTCACCCAAAAATTCTATCATTAATTACTCACCCTCCTGTTGTTTCAAATGCGTAAGACCTTTGTTCATCTTCAGAACACAAATGTTTGATGAAATTTGAGAGCTTTCTGACATAGACAGCAATGTAACTACCACATTCAAGGCCCAGAAAGGTAGTAAGGACATCGTTAAAATAGTCCATGTGACATCAGTGGTTCAACCTTAATTTTTTATTTTATTTTAAATAGCGACGTTATTCAATGATTTCTTCTCTTCCGTGTCAGTCTTCGATGTGTGTTCCGTCTATGGAGGGACAGAAAGCTCTCGGATATCATCAAAAATATCTTAATTTGTGTTCTGAAGATGAACGAAGGTTTTATGTGTTTGGAACAACATGAGGGTGAGTAATTAATGACAGAATTTTCATTTTTGGATGAACTTATCCCTTTAAGTCTACCAGCTGAATACCTGCAGGTGTTTTACGATGTTGACCACTTCTCGTGTAGAGTAGGGGTAGGTGATTGTTCCCTGGTCAGCCATGGCCCGGAGCTCTCCGAATGCAGCCACCAGTTTCTGGAGGATTGCATCAGGACTATCAGGCCCATATTGCTTCAGCATGGCAAACTCAGCCTGAGGTTTGGGGTTGTCCACTGCATGGCAGCTAAATATGTCCCCTGGAAGAGTAAATTGTCAAATCATCAAAAGTATTTCAAACAGTATTACATAATTATTGTAACTGTGTTAGTGTTTTCTGATATCCTTGACTCTGATTGGTCAATCATGGCATGCTGTGGTCAAATATTTTTAAAGCTATACTGTATAATATATAAGTCTTACCAAGCGCTCCAAAGAAGTCATTTCCCAAAAACGGAAAGCCAGGTCGGTTTGCTAAAACAATCATACGGAAGTCTGGATGCATGGGAATGGCATTAGACCTTCCGGCTGCTTCCAGTGGATCTGTGGAAAACAAAGAACGATTCCTGTTTTAAAGACTGTCAGTGACGGGTTTGTGACATGGAGTGTGTTTGATCTTCTCTGTCCATTTCACCTGACACTATTCTTCTTCCATCTGCCAGGATCATCTCTCCACTCTCCACCAATGTCTTCAGGATACAGGTTATCACCCTAACAAAACAACAGGCCGACTTCAGAAACGAGCAGCGTGGGGGATTATAACACACTGTCCTCGAGGTCATTCATTAATTTTTAACGCTTTTTCCCTCATCTGTGCCGGGGCGTCCTCCGGGTGTGAGCTGGCAACGTGTTTGTCCTCGCTGGAGCAGTGGTCTGGACCATCTGCTGATAGATGTATAAATATCACTATGCAAAGTCTACACTTCACATGACTGATTTTCAGGAGATCACAGGACACCCAGAACCACTGAGGTGGTCAATCATACATTTTTGTTTGCTCTTCACATTATGCTTTGAAATGTGGCCGATATCAGATTTGGACATGGTCCTGAACTGACTTGTTTGCGCAAAAGAAAGCATGCAACACGCTGTCATACGGAAAGCCACTGAAATTAGTGTTTACACATTCATTTGTAGTGCCATGGGAACCAGAAAATGTGTGCACAGGCAATAAGGAGGACAAAGACCAGGATGAGGAGATAATATTTAAATACACTATTCCAAACTGTTTCTATAAAATTAGAAGCACACAATTCCCTGGCCTAGAATATCATTATATGCTTAAACATTAAGATTTGTACTCCTGGAAATTACTAAAGTAGTCTAACCTGTTCATTAGAAGGGGGTGTCCCAATACTTTTGGCTATATAGAGTATTTACAATACAATCCCTCAAGTTTTGCTTGTACAGAGCTGTTGCTCTAATACTTATACCTCTCTGTTTCTCCGCTGACTACCATCACACCCATCTTCCATATTAACTGAGTGACCAATGAACTACTGGTATGTAAAAACTTTGGAGTGGCTCCCATCAGGGCAGAATAGTGACAAATGTCTATCTAGAGTGACGAAAAAGTTGCATGAATTGCAAAACATCAATCATGCATCTGATTTAGTACCACACATGAAAGTGGTCCAAATCAGTGGCCCAAATTGTGCCGTTCACGCTGTTATAAGGGGAAAAAAAAAACAGATCTGGGTCACAATTGAGCAATTGTTTTCCCCCTGCAGTCTGAATGTAAGGGAAATGAAACCTCAACTGCATATCATACAAATACAGCTCCTCATGTGAAGCGTAAAAGAGATGGAATTGATTCCAGTAGAGATCTGTGTTAAAGTGCCGTCACATCAGCACCAAAAAACAGTCCAGTCTATAGTCAATAGCATAGCGATGTTTAATACACAACTCTCACAGAAGTCACTTGCAAACCAAGGGAGTGGAATCTGCATGTGCAACTTTTTCGACGTTGTGTGAAACTCCCAATTGCGCAGTTTCCTACTGGAAATTTTCACCAAGCAAAAGTAAATGTGACCGCACCTTTAGTGTGTTGTTGAGCTAACAAAATACTCTTAAGCGTTTATTGAATGAAATATATGGTGCAATGCATTCTGGGATTGCCTCTTCCTCCAGGTTCTTAGAACAGGGCTTTCAAACTAGGGTCAAAGACTCTATGAAATATTATTACAAATTAATGTAACGGTTTTCTATTTGAATATACTTTAAAATGTAATTTATTCCTGTGATGCAAAGCTGAATTTTCAGCTTCATTTCTCCAGTCTTCAGTGTCACATGATCCTTCTGAAATTATTCTGATATGCTGCTCAAGAAACATTTATTTTATTATTATCAATGTTGATAATGCTGCCTAATATTTGTGTAGAAACTGCAGTGCATTTTTTAGGATTCCTTGATGAATAGAAAGTATTTTTCATTGAAATCATTTGCAACATTATAAAAGTTAAACAAAAACTAATTCTTACTGATGCCAAATTTTTAAATGGTAGTGCATTTTAACATTCAGTGACTGTAAGAGCCCTGTTATAAGCACTTTTATACTTTATGCTGGCATTAGAAAATACAGATGAATATTTAACTGTGACAAAACAGCTTATGTCATGTTGGTCAAATTCAATCAATACATTTATTTACTGAAAAACCCTCATAGTCCAAAATATCCCGGACGAGCCCCCAGTATTTTGTCTAATTGGGGATCAGACTGAGAACTGAAGAAAAACTACAGCTTTTTGAACATTTTCTGCTCTTTTTGGCAATTTCATTAAGATAATATAGTAACACTTTAGTATAGGGACCAGTTCTCACTATTAACTTGTTGCTTATTAGCATGTACATTATTAATATATCGGCTGTTTATTAGTCTAAAGTCATTAATCTAAAGCACATATTCTGCATGACCATATACTATATACCTTATCCTAACCAATACCTAAACCTAACAACTACCTAACTATTAATTAGGAGTTTATTGAGGCAAAAGTTGTAGTTAATGGCTTGTTAATAGCGAGAATTGGACCTTAAAATAGAGTGTGACCGATAACATTACAGTAATATTTCACAATACTCCTGTTTTCAGAGTACATAAGAGCATGAACATAAGAGACCTCTTTCAAAAGCATAAAAAACACTTTTGAACATTAGTGTATTCACAGGTCCCCTATTGCATTTTGTACGTCTAGCATACATTCATGTGTTCTGTGGGTCAATCAATCTATCAATGTAAACTGAAGTGACAGCAGTCAGGACGCCCACTCTCTTTCCATACACAAACGCAGTAAAGCCTCAGGTCTCTAGTGCAGAGCGTGGGCGAGCGTCTGGGCGCCGTAGGGCACACTGAGCTCTAGTTCACCCTGTAGCTGGTGGGCAGATGCTTTACAAACACAGCTGTGCTTCATGGCACGACGCCAGCGCTCTGGGCTAGTGTACTGTATGTCTGCTCTGCTCTCGGTATCGGAGTGGTCAGACGTCTCTGCAGACTGCTGTCCTGAGGATGGGAATCCTCGTTTACCTGGTTGCCCACAAGAAGCAGGTGTTCCCCCAACAGGAAGTCCTTCAGCATGTCCTGCATCACCATCATGTGCTGTGAACAAACAGACAAAATATTTTATTGTGAGAGCAGTACAAAACACAGTGGGGTTCAAGATATAAGACTTCTGGGATTTTTAAAGCTGGATATAAATAAAGTTTAAAAAGACAAGTTATTGAAAGGGACAATCAAGGTACAATGTAACCTCTTCTTGGTGGAATAATGTTATGAAGGATTACCAACTTTTAACTCTGCTTTATTTAAAGCAAAAATCCAGGTTACAGTAACGCTTACAATGGAAGTAAACCAGGATAGCATTCAAAAGGGTTTAAAAGGCAACATGTAAAGTCCTATTTTTGTTAAAGCACTAATATATGTAATTTAGTTAAACCCAGGATTATAATTTGACTTGCATGGCTGTCAAAATCATCTTTTTCAGCTGGGTCTACTTTTCTAAGTGGTTATTATAGGTATTTCTAGGCAACTAATAAAAAAAAATAGGCTATTGTTCAAAGGTTTGGGGCTGGTAAGATTTTTTAAAAAATGTTTTTGAAATAAGTCTTTTGTGCTCATAAAGGCTGAATTTACTTGGTCAAAATATAGTAAAAACAGTTATATTGTGAAAAATGATTACAAATTACTGTTTTCTATTTAAATATATTGTAAAATGTATTCCTTTGATGTCAAAGCAGAATTTTCAGCATCATTACTCTAGTCTTTAGTGTCACATGATCCTTCAGAAATCATTCCAATATGCTGATTTGCTGCTCAAGAAACATTTTTTTGTTATCAATTTTGAAAACATTAACATTTTTGTGGAAACTGTGATATTTTTTGTTTTGTTCAGCATTCTTTATTGAATAGAAATTTCAAAAGAGCAGCATTTATTTGAAATAGATTTAAATTAGAAATAGAAAATAGATTTAAATTAGATTTTTTTTTGTATAATTATAAAAGCTTTTTTTTGTCACTTTTGTTCAATATAATGCACCCTTGCTAAATAAAGTTCTTTAAAAAAAAAAAAAAGCGTACTGACCAATCTTTTGAATGGTAGTGTAAATGTATGACATTGATCATGTGACTCTTTGAATAGATGTTTTTTTTTTTCTGAAACCATGCTGGAGACCATTAGCAGATTTATATGTTAGACAAGTGCTTCTATCAGGCGAAAACAATCGGAGATATATTAAAAAAATTTCCTGCTTGCCCTCTTGCAAGCTTTATAATGGCAGTGAACAGGAGTCGAGATTTTAAAGTCCAAAAAATGCATCCATCCATCATACAAATAATCCACACGTCTCCGGGGGGTTAATAAAGGCTTTCTGAAGTGAATCAATGTTTTTGTGTAAGAAAAATATCCATATTTAAAACTTCATAAACTATAAAGCTTATAAAGCTATTATAAAGCTAGGAAGAGCCAGGAGATTTTATAATATAACTCTGATTGTATTTATCTGAAAGAAGAAAGTCATATACACCTAGGATGGCTTGAGTGCGAGTAAATCATGGGGTAGTTTTCATTTTTGGGTGAACCATCCCTTTTGATAAAATAAAAAAAAATAATTCAAGTGTTTTCACAAAGTGGCCTCAGACTATTGTAGTCCACTGTATGTCATGTGACCTGATCTACCTCATATTGCTCCTGCAGTAAAGCATGAAAACACACAAGCATCAATTATGCCTGAGAGGGTCACCTACATTTTACAGACACACAAAAGCTGAATAGATAAAAGGAAGCAGAAATGAATTCTGGTCTGGATATGACACAAGGAATTGAGTTTTCTGTTTATGAGGCTGCAAAGACACAAAGTGCTTTTTCAGTATGATAAGGACACATGGATGATGCTGTTTGCTGCAAACACACATTACACAACGCAAGAAATGCGAGCGGACAAGAGTTTGCCATATTGGGGGGGATGTGTCCTCATTTCTGCCTCAGTGGACTACTGCACTTCTCCTTCTAATGCTCGAAAGACAAAAAGCAGGTCATGGAAAAGTGGGACAAGAGTAACTTTTTTTCCTCCACCTCTTTCTGGGCCTCTGAAGGGAGGAGAGAGGTGGCAGTGAGGGAGGAATATCTGGGTCATCCCTCGTTCTCTTCTCACATCTCTCAGCAACTCTAGCATGAGACCAAATGCCACACATACAGTGTGGCAGCAATACTGAATGTTACCACTGGCAACACTTTATATTTTGTTATTACTGCATGATATAATGCTAAATAGATTTCATGGTTGCTACACTACTGTGTCCAATGTTTCAAACACCTGATTTAGAATTTATTATTTAAACTTTTTTGAAACAGCATTTGAAACTTTTTGGAAAACAGTAATTTTGCAATTCTGTTTGAACAGTCTATATGATCATATCTCCAGTGTTGGATGAGAAACAATGTGGTTTGACTGAGAAGTACGAGGCTTAACTTTGAATACTGAACACGCCATAGTGAGAAGACCTTCAAATCCCTAATAATGAAGTATGATTACATCCTGATTGACTGTGAAGCTGTTGAGATCTTGCTGTACTTGTGTGTGCGTGTGTGTGTTGGCCAGTGTTCTTTTGTGGGTCCTCTCTGAGATCTGACCTTTGAGCAAAACACCCAGTTGATTTACAAGGCTTAGACAGAGACAGATTGAGCTTTCCTCATTGCCAGACCAAACCATTTTTGGCGGCCCGTGTGATCATTGTGGAAACTGCAACTGCAATAATCACAAACATGTCTTCTGACCATGTTAATAAAAAGCAGGGCTGGTGGATAATGTGGTATATATGTGCAAATATGGTGTAAGTGTCGGTTGTTTACGGTCGCCAAGCAACACTGCATCTTGGTGTTTTAATATAGAATTCAACTAGTGTGTGTGTTTGTATCTGCTATTCTATTCTATTCTATTCAAACATGGCTCCTCAAATCAGGTTTGTATGTTTTTATGTTTTATGTTATTTGGTTGTACCTCAGGTTTTATTTATAATAATGTAAAGAAGCTGTTTTTATGTATTAATTTATTATAATTAGCTTTTTAAACCAAAAA